AAAAAACCAACAATATTCAAAGTATTTAAAAGTCTGGATTTTGTTCTCATTTTTGTAGTAAGTAGGAATTTTCTGTAGGCTCATAGCTTCACCTGCTTTCATATATAAAATAAAAATCCTGAATTTGATTTGTTTTACACAGGAGTAACTCCATTGACCTCAGGGAAGTTAATCTAGGCTCACACTGGTGTAAGGAAAATCAGAACCAGGTGAACGGTGTCTAAGTAGATGAGCAGCCACACATAAAAAACATTTAGTAAAGTATCCATATGAGTCTGATCCTGCTCTCTCTTGCCAAAAGTACAATTAACGTCAATGGTTTGGGAGGAGTAAGGGCAGTGTAACTGGGTCCCAGAAGTCCTGCCTAGACATCAGTAGGACAGAAAATGGAAATGGAAATCTGAAATTCTATCTCCAACTCCCTCAGTTGCTCCCTTGGTATTGAAGTACCTGTAGCGTTTAAAGTCTTCCAGTGGTTTGAGGCATCCAGCAGTAGTAGCTCGTGCCAACTGTAATAACTGGCACAGGCACTGGGTTTCATTCTTGACTCTGATTTTCCTGTCCTGTGGTCTAATACAAAATTTCAAATTTATTCAAGTGTAGCTTATGACCTGTGAGCTTCTTATACCCTTTAAATGATGATTTTTAAAAAAATCTCATATAGAAATTGTTATAAATATAAAGGGAAGGGTAACCACCTTTCTGTGTACAGTGCTATAAGATCCCTCCTGGCCAGAGGCACCATCCTGTTACCTCTAAAGGCTTAAGAAGCTCAGCTAACCTGGCGGGTACCTGACCCAAAGGACCAATAAGGGGACAAGATACTTTCAAATCTTGGAGCGGGGGAGGAGGCTTTTGTTTGTGTTCTTTGTTTACATGTTGTTCTCTCTTGGGACTGAGAGAGGCCAGACAGAAATCCGTCTTCTCCCACCCATCCTAATCCAAGTCTCCAATATTGCAACCAGTATAGGTAAGCCAGGCAAGGTGGATTAGTTTATCTTTTGTTTTATGTGAATTTTCCCTGTGTTAAGAGGGAGCTTTATTCCTGTTTTCTGTAACTATAAGGTTTTACCCAGAGGGGGATCTTCTGTGTTTTGAATCCCTGTAAAGTATTTTCCATCCTGATTTTACAGAGATGATTTTTACCTTTCTTTTTTTTAAATAAAATCCTTCTTTTAAGAATCTGACTGATTTTTCCATTATTCCAAGATCCAGGGGTTTTGGGTCTTTGACGATTTTGTAACAAATTGGTTAGGATGTTATTCTCAAGCCTCCTCAGGAAAGGGGGTGTGTAGGGCTTGGAGGGATATTTTGGGGGAAGACATCTCCAAGTGGTCTCTTTCCCTGTTCTTTGTTTAAAACGCTTGGTGGTGGCAGCATACTGTTCAAGGACAAGGCAAAGTTTGTACCTTGGGGAAGTTTTTAATCTAAGGTGGTAAGAATAAGCTTAGGGGGTCTTTCATGCGGGTCCCCACATCTGTATCCTAGAGTTCAGAGTGGGGAAGGAACCCTGACAGAAATATAGGTTGAAAAATATGACTCTTCCAGTCATTTAGCTAAAGCAATGGCCACTGGAGACCTGATCCTGCAAGGTAATAGGATCATTTGCCATTTAAAATCGTCATTTGCATTTAAAATTTATTTTATTTGTGAAAAATTCTACTGGCTTGAGAGAGATTCTCTATACTTAAACGGGCAATACTGCTAGAAATGGTGATATGTCTCAGAATAAAACTGAGGTGTTTCAATCTACGTATCCAATCTAAAAAAATTCATACTCTTGCGAAGAATGTCTGAAAGCAAATTCTTTATCTCTTTTACTCTCTTGACTTAAATATGCCCAAATGGACTTTTTTTCTTCAAAATGTGTGTGTGAAAGAGAGAAAGTGTGCTTTCTGACAGAAAAGACCTTGTACCACAGGGCACCTTGAATCACATACAAGATTTCAAGACACAATGAATTCCCTTACCACCCTCCCCCCCACTTACTATAGCTACGAAAACACTGAGAACAGGAATTCCTAATGGTAATATTGTAAATGAACTCTAAACAAAACGGGCAGTAATAGACACCAGTGTGAAGTTACATAAAGTTTAATACACTTTATCTCATTCATTATATCAGCAATATATGCTGTGAGTTTCAGCCAAATGGTTAATGCTGTAAAATAATACTTCTGTATAGTATTCATGAATGAATTTCATTCTTGCCTATTCTAGCTCAGAAGCATTAGTGGGGCCTGGACCATGAAGGAGAGCATCTTTCTATGTGTATGAATCAGATTCAGTACATGAGATGAAGAGATTATGACAGTTTCAGCGTGCTTCCCATGCATATACATACCCCGTTTGCCATACAAACTAGTTTTGTAGTAATTCGTTCAAAATGTGACTAGATTTTAACAAGCAAGAGATTTTTAAGGGAATCAAGACAGTGACTGGAGATCTACCTTCCACCACTCCCAAAGAAAAAGTAAACTTCACCAAGGAAATCAAGTGTAAAATGACTAGATCCCTTCCATGAACACACAAAAAGTTGGAAACCTCATCTGACCATATGTAAGCCAGATTTAGCCATTTACAATATAAAAGTGGTAGCTAAATAACTAAAATACTATTTCTCTAGTTTTTCCAACCAGATTGTATTTCCTTTTTTCATTCTTGGCCAACAGGGAATTGACCCATAGGGAATCTGCCACATGCTAAACCACTATTGAGAATTACTAGAAAAAGGAAGTATTTTGCAATATAGTTAATGAATTGATTAAGCAAGAAAATTAATAAGGAACATAAATACACTAGAGTACTGTGCAGTAATTCTGTCCATAGACTTACCTTAGTGCTTGCTGAAATAGCGTAATTAATCCCACTAACCTATCATGTTAATTGTTCTTTGGATTTTCTTTAAAACAAAGCAATGCTAGGCCTTTTCTGTTACTGTGTTATGGATAAGGACATCTCATCTTAGGTTTATATGTGATTTATGAATTTAAATACAAGGATTTACAAAGGTGAAAAAGGAAGCTTCCAGAGGGGCTTATAAGTACAGTTTAATAAATGTGATAAATTTAAATCAAGCTGACACATCATTTTAGGAAGGGATTGCATGTTTGGAAAAAGCTGTACGTAAGGATAGGCAAACACAGTACAGAATATATGAATATAAGGCCATTAATTATAAGTTAAGTCGGCATTATTACACACCACAAAACTATGTATGCCATTAGTTCATGTAAATGAGTCCCTGAGCTAACCATAGGTGCTGTCTGCAACTGACTTGCTTTCAGGAGTTTTAGGCTTTTACTGTGTAAAAAAAAAAGAAAAGAAAAACCAAAAACATATGAATGATTCCTGAAAAAAATCAAAGGTGGGTCAACCCTTTTCCTGCAAATATTCCTCTGTTTAATTTATTTGTAATGCTTACTTACTGGTACCATGCTAGTCCTTATCCTGTAAAGATAACAAATTAATTGGTTGACATAGAACACCTTTATTCTGGACAGAGAAATGTTGTCACCTGTCAAATAAAATATAATTTTCGTCCTTCATTTCTTGATAAACTGCTTAATAAGTTCCATCAAGTACTTTTCTCTTCCATTTGCAAGTTAACCAAACTCTCATTTAATCATTTTAAAACCAGTATACCATATCAATGACATTTTGGGAGTAAATCTAAATGAAGATTATAATACCATGCCTGTATTCAATGCACTATTTCACATCATGTCTTTGAATTCCAATCACTTTAAGAAATAGTGAGCTAAATTCTATTTAGTTAAACTGCTGTAACTCCATTGACTTCACTGATTTTACTGAAAGCAGAATTTGGCCTGCCGTATGTGCCGCAAATATAGATTGAAACTTTTGAAATGTGTAGACCAGGGATCGGCAACCTTTGGCACCCGGCCCGTCAGGGATATCTGCTGGTGGGCTGGGACGGTTTGTTTACCTGCAGCGTCTGCAGGTTCGGCCGATTGCAGCTCTCACTGGCCGCGGTTTGCCATTCCAGGCCCATTGGGGCTGCGGGAAGCATTGTGGGCCAAGGGATGTGTTGGCCGCCGCTTCCAGCAGCCCCCACTAGCCTGGAACGGTGAACCGCGGCCAGTGGGAACTGTGATTGGCCGAACCTGCGGACGCTACAGGTAAACAAACCGTCCCGGCCCACCAGCGGATATCCCTTATGAGTCGCATGCCAAAGGTTGCCAATCCCTGGTGTAGACAATTGAAAGACAATTTCAACTTGAAAGTAAAGAAAACAAGGCCAGATTTTCAAAGGTTTTACACACACAGTTTTATGTGAAAAACTTACACACAATTTGCGCATACATTTACTGGGACACAAACTGTATATGCCATTGGCCAGTTATGGTCACTTCTCTTACCTGACTTTAATGAGAGCAGGAACCAGCCCTAAATCAGAAGGACAATACTGCTAACACATGCTGCACCAGATGAGCACATGGGGGTTTTATCTCAGACTGGTACAGAATAAAACAGTGTTTCCTGAATTCCTATGTGTGGCCTAAATTATTTCACATGCATATCATTACCATGAAGTAAAATGAGAATGTACCTGCCAGAATACTAAGCTTTCAAAATAAGAGCCCAGTTTTGAATATGTATATTATTGAGTAACTTGTAAAATCACCTGGGGCCTGATTGTGGAACTTTGAAAGTCACTGAGAGTTTTGCCATTGACATTTATGGTGCAGGACTGGACACTTAATTCTTTCACATTAAATAGCTGACTTTAGAAGATATTTAGTGATGCACAGATAAGGACCGTGCCCTTAATAGGGACACTTTTGGGTGTTTGTATTTACTGTATGGACATGCAAGTCCTAGTATTTTGATGCCCTACAGAACCAGTTTGGTTTGATTCAGGAAAAGGAATACAGTTGCATTAGATGAATTGACTCGTCAGGCATAATTGTCAAGTATTTCTTGCTATTTTGTTTCTGGAGCCTGCAACAGACATGTCTCTTATTTTCCCTTTCCAGGAGTTTGTCATGATTGTTGTGTTTGGTTTGGAATATATCATTCGTATCTGGTCAGCTGGCTGCTGTTGTCGCTACCGAGGATGGCAAGGAAGATTGCGATTTGCGAGGAAACCATTCTGTGTAATAGGTGAGTTTCCCAATTAATTTCAATGTAAATTCCAAAAGTTACAACCTAGACATCACAGGTTGGCTGATTTCTTGCACACATAATAACAGATTCAGTTTATTTACTTGATTTTACTGTAATTCTTTAAAAAAATGTCTGATTTGGAACCAACATGTTGGTGCAATAGTGAACCTGTGTAACAGCAGGATCTCAGCTTCATTACCCTCATCCTCTGACCTCCTTGTTCTCTCCAGTTGCTATTTGCACTCACTTGTTGCAACTCATTTCAAATTAGATTATAAACTCCTAGGGGCAGGAGACATATTGGCCTGTGTTTGTACAACACCTGGCACCAGGGGTCCCCAACCTAATTGCAGTAGCACCCAAAGGCCCCAATGCAAATAACAAATAATCTCACCAAAAAAGTCCTTCAGTTGCAGTGGGGCTGTAATGAGGGAAATATGAGTAGGTGGAATTCCCAAAAGAATCACTTTTGTTGAAGCTGTGATGTTTAGAATGCAAGAGCAGCCAATATTAGCCACGTTGCAGGTTCCTTACAAGTACACTGACCAAAGTAAGTATGGGTGTGTCAGGTAAAGGTTGATTGGGAGTGTATAGAGAAGGTCACAGTGGGTTTCTACCATTTTGCATTACTCAGAGGTGTATCATCTATAAAAGCATCATTATTAAGCACTTTACAATAAGTCCTATAATTATCAATTGTAGGGGCTTTTTCCCAATAAATACAGTAGAACTTTGAGTCCCATATCCGAACCATGGTTAGCCAGATCTAATGTGAAATTAGGGAACAACATGTCCCCTGAGGCTTACTGCACAGTTGGCTAAAGAGGAAAGCAGGGAGAGGAAGTTACCTGTTTCCCCAAGGCAACTGGCTGAAGAGGAGACAGAAGGGACTCGTGTGTAGAAACTCCACTCTCTCCTGTCTTCTCCAGGCAGCCTTCATTGGGGAAGCCAGCCCCTCAGACATTCCCTCTCCCTGAATTCAGCCATATGACTCCCCTGATTAATCAAACCCATGGGTATTTGCAGGTTTTTGGTACACTCAACTCTTTCTAATAATCAAGGTTCTACTGTACATAATTCCAGATAACAGAACCAGACAGTTCAGCACAGGTGGTTTATTAACGATAAAACAAGTCAAACATTTAAATAGCAGAAACATGTTTAACATCCCAGATTACTTGCTGCTGTCCTAGAACTCTTTGTTTGGAGATAGCCACAATTTGTTCAATCCAGCTTCAGTTTATCTTCAGTTTTCTTTCCTCCTACTGTGTGCAAGCCTTTTGCTGCTAACTAACTTCATTTTGGAGGTGTTAATTCCTTGCATAAAGTAAGTTAGTTAAGGGACACAGTCATGCTCAAAGTTACACATCCAAACCTGTGTTACTTACGAACCTGTCGATAATTAAAGAAGGCCAGATTATGGCCCATTCTGGGCACTAGCCGAAGGGAGTAAGAAGGGCATAAAGCACCCCATGTACCATAACGCAGCTTCCAGGACCTGGTGGGTAGCATGCTCCACAGTGCCGCTGTGTCCCCTCCTGCGTGCCAATGAGCAGGAAGGAGTGAGGAGTGAATACAGCTTTGACTCTGACCCCTGGCAGTGTATCTACACCAGCATATCAGGGAGCACATTCTGGCAGTCAGTCTCCCTTCTGGGCCATTCTAGGAGCAACACTGCAACATAGACTCCATTGCATGGGGCTAGGTCACAATCTAGACCAGAATTTTAAGCAATCGTTATATACTTTTCACTGTTTTCCCTGATTGTTTCTTGCTCTTCACTTGTTTCTAACTATTAAACTGGCCCCATTTGTTCCTATCTCTGCTTTTTCTCTTGGTCTATAGTATTCTCATGCTTCATGCCTCATGCTGCAGCATTTAAAAAATGAACTAATGGAAAAAAACGTAAGGAATGCCTTTCTATTTGTTAGCATTTGTAAAATGTTTTTCCTGAGTGGGGACTCTAAATGTTGGGCCTAAACTATCTGACAGTATTGCTCTAAATACTTAGCAATTTTCCTTTATGGGTTATTTTATTTTTACTTTTTGAACCACTTGAAAACTAGCATTCTTTTCTATTGTTTTTAATAGGTCTACTAATAATGGTGAGTCATATGGCTTTATTAGCTGAACTCCCCATTAAAGTCAAAGTAGAGTTCCTCTAAAATCCCATGACTAGATTTGGCTTTTTGTTTTTTAATCCTTATTTACAGTTCATTCATTCTACTTCCCATTTCAATGTAATAGTGATATCTTTACAGCCATGGTCTGTTTGCCCTTAATTTAACTTGCCTGTATATCCTCAGCAGATCTAACTACTTTTGCAGTCAAACACAATTACTTAGGTCATTGGCCTAAGAGGTAGAAATAATAAATGTTCAGATTACCAAAAAGGTCAAGTTCAGAGAGCCTTTCTTTTGTTTAGATTTCATTAATGACCTGTCAGTGTGTAGTACTCACAACCAAAGGCCAATACTTACAATAATGAGCCTATGATATCAGTAAGTCTGACAAGTTAGTTTACAAACAACTCTGGGTGCTCCTTGGTAAGAAAAGATACATCAGTACATGTTGGCCTGCTTTGCACCCTATTTGCTGTCTCAGAGGATATGGGAAATATAATTGTGCTATTCATCCTGGCTATGTATTTTGTGTTAGATTGAGAACTGCCTGATATCCCTTATTTTATCTAATTACTACTTGGCCAGTGTATCTCATCCACAGAGCACACAAGCGCTGACCCGTGTACTAGGCATATCAATTAGAAGCTGGAATTTCAGGACTGCAAAGGAATGTTGCCATGTTGTGCTGTAGAGGCTCACAGCGGTGAAGGGATCAAGGCCCTCACTTCCTAGCTTCTCTTTATTGGGCCCCAATGACTGTTGATTTAATATATGATCTGTCCTAATTTTGACATATCTGTCCTTTATTTAGAAAAATGATCATTTGGATTCCAGTACTATTTATATGGGTCTTTAATTTATCCTCTTCACTAAGGCAGTCAGACTGGTCAGATTGTGTCACTGAAGCGCAGGGTTGTGTAGGAGGAAGTGCACAGCCATACAGGACTTGGAAGAGTTTCCAAAAAGCAGCATGCCTCAGGAGGGAGCAATGCTCTCTGAAGTTCTCCAGTATGCAAAGCCATACTGGATCAGACCAAAGATCCATCTAGCCCAGTATCCTGTCTTCCAGCGGTGACCAATGGCAGGTGCTTCAGAGAGAATGAACAGAACAGATAATCATCAAGTGATCCACCCCCTGTTGCCTATTCCCAGCTTCTGGCAAACAGAGGCTAAGGACACCATCCCTGCCCATCCTGGCTAATAGCTATTGGTGGACCTATCCTCCATTAATTTATCTAGTTCTTCTTTGAACCCTGTTATCGTCTTGGCCTTCACAACACCTTCTGGCAAAGAATTCCACAGTTGTGTTGTGTGTGAAGAAATACAACCTTTTGTTCATTTTAAACCTGCTGCCTATTAATTTCATTTGGTTGTGAGCAGTAAATAACACTTCCTTATTTACTTTCTCCACACTAGTCATGATTTTATAGATTTCTATCATACCTCCCTTAGTCGTCTCTTTTCCAAGCTGAAAAGTCCCAGTCTTATTAATCTCGCCTCATATGGAAGCTGTTCCATACCCCTGATCATTTTTTTTGGCCCTTTTCTGTACCTTTTTCAATTCCAATATATCTCTTTTTGAGATGGGGGACCAGATCTGCATGTAGTATTCAAGATGTGGGCATATCTAGGACACACTTACCCTAGGATGTTGCAGCCACAAAACAGAAAAATCTGAGCCACTGCAAAATTACAATTTTTCATTAAAAGTCAGAAGGAACAAATCTGTGTTTGTGCGGTATTTAGCACAATAGAGTTTTGTCCGTGACTGGGGTTCGTAGGTGCTATTTCAATATTTAAAACAAGAAATGAGAATAATAACAAGAAACTATCAGTTCTGTTAGGCAATTCATTGACATCCCAAAACAAAAAGTGCACTTGAATGGCAAAAATACACTTCTTCCTTTAAAAAGGCATTGGCTTTGTAGCTAGCATAGGGAAGGATGGTGTAGTTATTAGAGCTGGGTGAAATGTTTTTTGGAAAAATGGTTTACTTGTTGAAAAATGCAGTTTCAGTCAATCCAAAACTATTTGCAAATTTGATCCTATAAATTTCATCTGGGAAAAACTTTTCCAGGGCCAGATTCAGAGTGTGAGCATCCCCATCTCTCCCTATAACCTTTAGCACAGAGATTAAGGCACCTGGGATGTGGAAGACCCAGGGTTTGAATCCCCATTCTGGAACAGGAACTTGAACACAGATCTACTCCTCCCATATGAGCATCCCCACCACTAGCCTATAGGGTATTCAGGCAGGGTGGAGGGGGGGTTGCTCTCAGTCTCTCTTGTTGAAACCATTGCACTTTGAGTAAATATTAGAGCAGAGACTTGAACTCAGCCTCCACCCTTCAAGGCAGTGCCCTAACCACCAGGGTGCAGGCTATTCTGCATTCAGTCTCTCCTGTTGCAGCTGTTCTAATCTGAATAAACAGCCAAACATTCATTGTGTCAAAGAGAGAGCGTGAGAACAACTCTCCAGCTTGGTGATTAAGGCACTCACCTGGGAGGTAGAAAACATGGATTCAAATCTTCTCTCTGCCTGGATTCAGAGTAGTCATTTGAATCTACATCTACCTCATCTTGAAAAATCAATTATTTGCCCATCTCTGATAGTTATCCATTGTGACAGGGGGAGGAGGACTTGGGGGTTCTGTTTTAGGTGGAGCTGGGATATCCAGGAAGAAATGTGCCAGAGGCGGCTTCAGAGACAAACTGGAGGGATGGATTTATGACTCGCGAGTATAAAGATGATAGCTGAAGCCATGACAGCTGATGAGGTCACCCAGGTCTGGAGAGAACAAAGGAAGGGACATGTCCCTTTTGATTCAGGCTGAAAAGGAGGAGAGAGAAGAAAGTAGAACTGCCCAGGAAGAG